GGATGCGATTAATCGCGATTAATCATTTGACAGCACTAATATATATATATATATATATATATATAAAATGGGGACATGCATATCTTCTGATATTCCAATGAGAAACAAATATTTCCAAATAAAAATGTCTTAAAATTGTTTACATTTATTTGCATTGAAGACTAAACATTGTAGAGTTCAATCTCTGAAATAATGTGACTGCTGTCTCAAATAATGTGCTGTTAAATATATCATGGGGTTTCTACCTTTTCACTTTTATTTTCTTCAAAGTAATTCATCCTGATTTGTTGTAGTCTGGTACTTGATTAGATGTGCTTGAATCATCTCCATGTGCTATTTTATTGAGGTTTCTGGGTGATAATCACAGCATCTGTCTTTGGACTGCCGGTTCAGAGTTTTTCTTTCTCCAGCATGTGGGTGGGATAGATTGAAGGGTCCTCAGCCTGAGACCCTTCAAAACCACAGGTAATATTTAAACCAGATGCTTCCACTGCTGTGAGTGACGGGGTATTTGATCACAGAGAACACCCTTAAAATAAAGCTTCTTCAAAGCTTCTTTTAAAGAACACTTTTCGCTGTGTAACATTCTAAAGTTGCTATATGGTTCTTTAAAGGTTAAAAAAAGCTATTGGTCTTATATTATACACTAAAATGTCCTTTAAAATAGGGTCCAATGTACTGTGTTAATAAAAAGCATTTTTCTTATTCATTTTTTCACAGGTTTTTCCCCCATATTTTCAATTAAGCATAGTTTTGTGTTATGTTTTAGGGGTCAAAGGAAATAAAGGTAAACTTAACGGAAAATGTCCTAGCAGAAAATCTAGCATTACATCACTTACTCACCAATGGATCCTCTGCAGTGAATGGGTGCCGTCAGAATGAGAGTCCAAACAGCCGATAATCCACAAGTAATTCACACGATTCACAAGTAATTCCATCCATTAACATCTTGTGAAATGAAAAGCTGCATGTTTGTGCGTTTGTAACAAATCCATCAAGATGTTTTTAACTTCAAACTGCTGCTTCCAGCTATTCATATTAATGCTTTCTCTAGTGAAGAATTAGTCTTGTTTGAATCAGGAGAGAAATATGCACAGATCAAGCACTGTTTACAAGCCAAAACTGTTCTAAACAAATATGTTGGTAGATTTTGATGTGAGAGGACAACAGGGGATGTTTTTTTTTGTTTTGTTATTATAGATTATGTATTTTAGCCGGAAACATCAGTTTAAAGTTTAAAAATGTCTTAATGATGGATTTGTTTCTTACAAACATGCAACTTTTCACTTCACAAGATGTTAATTGATGGACTGGAGTGGTGTGTATTACTTGTGGATTATTGTGATGTTTTTATCAGCTGTTTGGACTCTCATTCTGATGGCACCCATTCACTGCAGAGGATCCACTGGTGAGCAAGTGATGTAATGTTAAATTTCTCCAAATCTCTTCCCACGATTAAAAATGTTATTTACATCTTGGATGGCCTCATTTACTCATTTACATCTTGGATGGCCTGAGGCGGAGTAGTAAATGCTCAGCAAGTTTTCATTTTTTGCTAAACTATTCATTTAAAAGTAAAACCACATCATTAAACTGCACTTGCCATTCAAAGGGACCCAGCAATGACACAATGGAGAAAACATGGGTATATAGTGAGTAAATAGTAAGTGACTTATCATTACCGTAATGAATAAAGAAATAGTTGTGCGTGTGTTGAGTGGCTTTCTGAATCTAAAGCATTTCACACATTAAAAAGGACACTCACTCCTTGGAAAGCTCTGTGGATAAGGCAGAGTAAGTATGTGTTTTTGAGGGTGTGTGTGTGTGTGTGTGTGTGCGAGTAGAAAACGGAGGGGAGATCCTTTCAACACATAAAAGGGAAGCCTAACCGCCGCTCAGAGCCATATATATACGAGAGAAATCTTGGAGACAGTCAGACAGACATTTGGTGCTGAAAATACTACAGAAGTCAAACACTCCTCTTTTGAGTTGTTAACTCATTCATCCTCTCAATCAAAGCCAGTGTTTGGCGTCTCCACGCCAACATGCACTCTGGGTACCCTCGCAGCAAAACAACCACAGACGGCAGGAACGATCGCTCTTCAGAAGACACTGTAATTAACTCGCCGGGTTTCTCCCCGCCGTTCTCAACTACACCACGATGAAGAAAAGATGAATGACCTCTGAAATCACAATGTAATTATTCTGATAACTCAGGTAAGAAAATGAAAAGACTGGATATACACCCAAGTCTATTTAATCTCAACTCCGATGCTTCTTTGAATTATTCCTCTAAAGAAGGAAAAGTAAGAGGATTTGATGGTACTAAAGTGTGAAATGAGGAAGCTTGTAAGCTTAGCCTTGAGGCTGATATTAATTCTGGTTGATCTCTTACTAAGCGTGACTATTGCTATTGCACATATTGTGATCTGAACAAACTCTGTACAAATTCTTAAGTTCTGGAAAGAAAACAAAAAGCCTCTTTTTAAGTTGTATTTTTGAATACTTGCTTTCTGGTAAAAATATCACAACACTCTTAAAACAAATTAATTGTGTAAGATAGAAAACTGGTTTTGAGAAACTTTATTTATGTACTTACTTAGGCTACTATATTGGCAAATAGTATTTTCTATAGTGAGCGTAAACCTCACTAGATTTTTAGCCGATTTTAATTTTTAGACAGAAATTAATACCTAGACATTTTACTGGATAAAAAAAAAAAAAATCCCAGACTTACAATACTGTTCAACAGTTTAGGATAAGATTTTATTTTATGTTTTTGAAATAAATCTTATATGCCCAGTGCCAAGGCTGGGTCGATTTATTTGAACAAAAATACAGTAAAATTAGTATAATTATATTAATTCTGGTTGATCTCTTACTAAGCGTGACTATTGCTATTGCACATATTGTGATCTGAACAAACTCTGTACAAATTCTTAAGTTCTGGAAAGAAAACAAAAAGCCTCTTTTTAAGTTGTATTTTTGAATACTTGCTTTCTGGTAAAAATATCACAACACTCTTAAAACAAATTAATTGTGTAAGATAGAAAACTGGTTTTGAGAAACTTTATTTATGTACTTACTTAGGCTACTATATTGGCAAATAGTATTTTCTATAGTGAGCGTAAACCTCACTAGATTTTTAGCCGATTTTAATTTTTAGACAGAAATTAATACCTAGACATTTTACTGGATAAAAAAAAAAAAATCCCAGACTTACAATACTGTTCAACAGTTTAGGATAAGATTTTATTTTATTTTATTTTATGTTTTTGAAATAAATCTTATATGCCCAGTGCCAAGGCTGGGTCGATTTATTTGACCAAAAATACAGTAAAATTAGTATAATTATAATTTAAAATAACTGTTTTCTAATTTAATATACATATTAAAATATAATTTATTCATGTACTGCAAAGCTGAACTTCAGTGTCACATGATCCTTTAGAAATATGCTATGTATTCTATTCTAATATGATGATTTACTGCTCAAAAATTTATTTTATTATTATCAATGTTAAAAGCAGTTGTGCTGCTCAATAATTTTTTGGGAAACCATGATATGCTTTTTACATATAGAAAGTACATTTATCTGAAAATAAAACATTATTTTAGTTTAATAAATAAAACTGAAATCATGCTTTGTAACTTTTTTTACTGTCACTTTACTGACTAATTTAATGGATTCTAGCTGATTTAAAATATTAAAGCCTTCCAAAATCACAAATCTTACTGACTGCAGACTGAGAATCTTATTAAGGGTTCTCTGGATTTTGATTGGCAGACATCCACTTAGCAACCATCCCAATCACCCTAGCAACACCCTATCACCCTATCCACAACATTCTAGCATCATGGATTGCTGGAATTCTCACAAAGTTTATTTTGGTTGCCGTTATCATGATGAACAAACAGGAAGTCATCGAGTTGAGACACAAAATATCTGACTTCCTCACAGATTGAAAACAGCTACCATGATAGCAGCACTGAAGTGTGGGAAGACATATGAAGTGGACATCTATAACTGACATGAGGAACAAAATGGAAAAAAAGAAAAATTGTATATCACAAAGCTTGTCGAAAACATGTCTGGGAAATGTTTCACCAAAAAAACTATTTAAAAAAAATGTTTTTTAAAGGGAAATTTGCTTAACGGTCATTAAAATCATGTCTTAATTTTCTTAAAATTAGGCTTAATTTTCATCACGCAAATTCTATTTTTTTAACTTCTGATTTTGAGGTGAAATGTGAGCCGGACCCATGATTTTAGTGAGATTTAACCGAACTAAAGCTCTATGTGCTTAGCCTACTGCCTCACAGTTGCTGCTCTGTAAGCTGATTTTCACTGTGTATGTTTGCGTGAGGATGAATCTATGACATAATGAAGGGTTTAAGGCTTGATGCCCAGTGAGATTTGAAAACACATTTTATCATTACACTTGCAAGGTCAAATTCACCCTGGACTTTCACCTCCAAACTGAATGCGATTGCTTTCCTGCAGAGAGTGCGATAAACAATATCAAGCTCTCAAAACCCAAGACTGGCAAGTGTAGCAATCATTTTTTCATAATTGTTGAGGCAGATGTTCTCTTATGGGGTCTCAGAAGATTCAGACTGCACGCATCGGTCTGTACAAACACACCTGACAGTCACGTAACCGATCTTTATTAAGACATTCACGCTGGTGATCTGAAACAAGAAAGACTTGTAAATCTCACAAAAGTCACCCATGATTAAAATATTCATGCTACATGATATTTACAAGTTATTTCAAATAATACTGCAGTTAAGACACTTAACCGTGGTATTACCATGGTAACATATCCAAAAATCCATGGTAGAAAGAAATTTCCACTTAAAATCTTTAACGTTCCACTATGAGAGTCTCCATCTTTCCTTTTTGTGATGGCGTGTGTGAGAACAAGAGCTCTCCATTAGTGTGTTTTCCATACATTATTGACACAGGACTACCATTTTCCCTTCGACCAGAGGGTCAGCGCAGAGGAACAACACAGCACAGACTTTATTTCACTTGACAGATCATGCCTGACATTATTTTTCCATGGATGAAGGTCATACTGCTTCCAGAACTAGAGGTACAATGTCTACAAATATTATACGGTCTTTTACATAGAATCAAATGACAACTGCATGTGGAATTAAACCAATATTTGCTGTCCAACATCCAAAAGGCAAGCATTTATATATTTCATCTATTAAAAAGAATCTGGGAATAAACAAGTAACAGTGAAAAGCTTTTCATTTACTTTCAACGCACATTATATCTATTTCTAACCCAGCTGATAATACACTGTCAGTCTGTGGCACGTGTAAGGAATTCGGTTCTGATTACAGAAGTGATTTGTAACTGGTGCAATGGTTAAACTCGTGTAATCTTGTAATGTATGACTTAAAAATACAGCATGTGTCTTTACAGCACTAAGTACTTGTGGGCTTACTGTCTGCCTGTCAAAAGAAAAAAAAGAAAAAAAAAAAAAAAAAAAAAAGTTCAGAGCGGTATCATAACAAAAAAAACAAAAAATACATATATATTGGCACCTGTTCCCCCCTACTGAGTGTTCATCAACTCCATATTGTGCCTGCCACTCAAATATGATTTGTGCAACCCAATGCAGTCACGTTATACATTTTTTTGACTTGAATAACATTCATATAAATTGAGATGCAAATTGCAAGCTAAAGATCATTAGTGGAGTATATTAAAAAGATATTGCAATATGCAAGCACATAACTAATGCAGAAAAACTTAAGTGTGCATCACATTGCCTTACCTGTGGTGGAACCTTGGTGAAAGCAGGTTCAAGGTGCTTCATCGTGAGTTTGTCCCCTGATGTGACCCGGGCTTTCTCCTCCTTGGCCATGGCAGCCGGTGCGAGGGGTACAGAGACAGCAACTGAACTCTCTGGCTTCTCAGAGCTGGCTACAGCTGTGCCTGCATCCATTCACATACTGCAGCAGTGAGAGGATGGGCGGGGTTACAGAGCTTCAGAGGCCACATGCACAGACGCTTTCCAGCTGTCACTCACAGATGTGAGCCAATCAGATGACTCGCTCTGCCAAAACAAGCTGCTTACCTGAATCCGATACAGCGTACATTCCTATGCTGTTACACTGACACTAAAAACACTAAATAAACACATATGCAAAGTAAGAGTTGCTTAAGGATTTAATTACTTGTATGTGCTGAATATACAGTTAGCCTAACACAAAACATAACGTTCACTTTTCCATCAGAAATACCTTGCGTACATATAATGTAAAAATGTTTTGTTATCCAAGCAAGTGACATATTAATTTGATTAAAATATTGAATACACATAGACTAACGAAACGTATCATGTTAATACCATGGTATTAGATACAGACAGACAGACATATAGACAGATAGATAGATAGATAGATAGATAGATAGATAGATATTATCTAACCTGAGTGATGCGGTGAGCTATCAGCTGCTGCAGCGGTGCATGAACTGCGGGTTCATTCCATCACTCACATTCACATTCACTGCACCAGCAGCACGTTCAATAGATGTAATTACAAACACACACGTGCGCCCCCTACAGGACAGCAAACACAACTCACAGGATCCTAGACCTAGTGAGACATCCTAACTAACATGGCAGTAAATAAATCAAATTATTAGCATACAGGCATTTTAAATCTAAGTGGTAGTGTCATGGCATTGCACCAAGGCTGCATTTATTTGATCCAAAATACAGCCAAAACAGTAATATTGTGAAATATTTGTACAATTTAAAATAGCCGTTTTCCGTTTGAATATATTTAAAAATGCTATTTATTCCTGAGATGCAAAGCTGAATTTTCAGCATCATTACTCCAGTCTTAAGTGTCACATGATCCTTCAGAAATCATTCTAATGGCTGATTTCAAATAAAAATGTCAAGAAACATTTCCTATTAGGCTATTGTCAAAAGTTGGAAACAGTTGTGTACAAATTTTTCAGGATTCTTAAATGAATAGATAGTTCAAAAGAACAGCATTTTAACAGTTATTTTAAATTGTAAAAATATTTTCACACTATTGTTTTATGCATAAACCACAAACAAAATGCATAAAATCCTTTAGTTTCACATGAGCCAAACTGACTTAAAGAGGTGATTAGACAAGTGTTTACCATGACTTAAAAATACATATTTATTTATTAACTGCTCACAAACTCCCAGGTATACACTTGCTATAAAGTTAATTAAAAGATTAATAAATACGCTTATCAGGCCTGATGGTCAGACCTGGTCAAAACAGTCATATCAACCTTAATATACTCCGGAAATTCCTGACATTCAGCCCACTGGCCAGGAAACCAACCATATGGTTGGCATTACATGTAAACGCATTTCCAACATTTTGTGCAACGGTAAACAATATGTGGAAATGAACAGGACGTTTAAAAGGACAGTTGGCACAAGATTCATATGGAACAACAGTAGAGACTAGAAATAGTAATTACACTAATTCCTTCAATGATTAATAGATTATATAGTGATGAAAATGGTTTGACTGAATTGCATTGCGGGTTGATAGTGGATCAACTTAAACTACCCAAAAACTGATAAAGACAATCGAACTATAGGATTTCTTTTTTTAAATGCACTTCTAAAATATTTAAAAGTAATAGGTCAGAAGATGAATCCAAACACATTCACACCAAAAAGCAGCATATTGATCAGAAAGTCGCCTAAATTTCTACTTATCCTCTCTGTGAGCGTTTAAAACACGTTAGAACCCATTTACCCCCCCTTTGAAGTGAGAAAAGGAATCAGCATATCTTCAGTAGGTTTATTGCAAGCAGAGGTCTTTATAACAGAGCCTCTGTCTTAGGCAAAGTGCATAAAACATTTACATTTGTAACTTAACGGTTCACAGTAAGACATACCAGCACAGATGATCGAACACAACTCCATTAAGCATCATGGCAGCTTCCATGATCTGAATTCTTCATTGATCTGTGTAAACATGTATAATAGTGAAGGTTAAAAGACTTGGCTTGTTCATACTGCATTGCATCAGAAAAGGCCAACACATCCAACTCTGAAAGAACATGACGAGAAATAAAAAATAAAACAAATAAATAAAAATAAAACTTTAAAAGAATAATTCACCCAAACATGAACGCACTGTCATCATTTACCATTTTTAATCACCCACTTGTCATTCCATTTTGACTGAAATGTAAATTGTTATTCACTGTTTATCTTTTAATCCAGTGAACTTGCTGTGACTGGATCACGGAGTCAGTCAACTTGACAACCATTTCAGTCTGATTTTTCATTTTTTGGTGAACTATTCATTTAAATCTACAGGTACATCTCAATAAATTAGAATGTCGTGGAAAAGTTCATTTATTTCAGTAATTCAACTCAAATTGTGAAACTCGTGTATTAAATAAATTTAATGCAGACAGACTGAAGTAGTTTAAGTCTTTGGTTCTTTTAATTGTGATGATTTTGGCTCACATTTAACAAAAACCCACCAATTCACTATCTCAACAAATTAGAATATGGTGACATGCCAATCAGCTAATCAACTCAAAACACCTGCAAAGGTTTCCTGAGCCTTCAAAATGGTCTCTCAGTTTGGTTCACTAGGCTACACAATCATGGGGAAGACTGCTGATCTGACAGTTGTCCAGAAGACAACACAGCTTTTCGCTTCACAAGACGTTAATTGATAGACTGGATTCATGTGAATTATTGTGATGTTTTTATCAGCTCTTTAGACTCTCATTCTGACGGCACCCATTCACTGCTGAGGATCCATTGGTGAGCAAGTGATGTGATGCTAAATTTCTCCAAATCAGTTTGCATGAAGAAACAAACTCACATCTACGTCTTGGATGGCCTGAGGGTGAGTAAATTTTCATTTTTAGGTGATCTACTCCTTTAAGAGAGAAGGATTAATGAACTGTCTCTCAAACGTGTGGGATCAATAAATCTGAGTCTCTGGTGCAAGCAGGAACAGTCAGGAGTGACCAAAAGGAGCTTGTGTGTTGAGAGGCCTCTGAACGATGACAGCATTTGCTAAATCAGCTTCCTTTAAACTCTGACCCTCATCTCTCAGCTCTCGGAACGGCAGGGATGTAGTCAGGATGAAAGGAGCGTCCGTTCTCTGAGCCTGCTCCACAAAACGCTGCACATCACTGATCCTGGAACAATTACATAAAGGCCAACATGAATGCATCTTCTGAGGGAGCTTTGCAGCCACATCTTAGCAATCATGTTCAAGTCAGAGGCATGAAACCTTTACATGTGGTGACGCAAACGTTAAATCCAGCGTAATCTGATTTGATATGCTGCAAAGTTGCAGCTTACGATTCTTCCATTTTACCTTGTGAGCTTGTATTACATAAATGATGAAGGAGAATTATGTAAGAGCTTTTGAGGGTAGGATTTCAAAACTGGAGCACCACAAATTTGATATGCTGCAAAGTTGCAGCTTACGATTCTTCCATTTTACCTTGTGAGCTTATATTACATAAATGATGAAGGAGAATTATGTAAGAGCTTTTGAGGGTAGGATTTCAAACCTGGAGCACCACAACATGCCCAGGGTGGATTCTGACAATACAATAAGAACATTCAGACATAATCATGTCTAAGGCCTGTAACCTTAGCTGTGTCCAGTTTATAAAAGCATAGTACACTAAAGAATGCATATTCAGTTATAGTTTTTTAAGGTGATGCTTCGTGGGGCAAAGTACAAACCAAAAAATGCTTCCATGCATTTAGACCAAATAATTGGCTGCAGTATATTGATGGCGTCAAATTTTTTATACATTGTAAACAGTTACTTCAACTCTTTTTGCAATCAATTTATTTAATTTTACAACATTAGAGCTGCAAAAATTACACACACTTTTAAGCTTTTTTTTTTCTTTAGGGGGAAATATGACCCAGATGTGTTTTCAAGAGATTCACCTTCTACGAGCATATGATACTCACCGATGGCACAGATTAAACCTCTGCACGAGACGCTGACCGTCTGCCAGCCAAATCTGGAGGGAGGTCACAGGGAGGTCCTCATTCAGCTCCACAGCTGGGAGAGGAGGACCAGAACAGTCCTCATGTATCGACCGAGACCTGGCCATCAGTTGCGGAGCCACGCTACAGAGGACAATCATTGCAACTTAATCAATTTCTAAAGTATGGTTAAAAGCCTAACTTTGCCCAATGAACTGCAAGTATTGTCATGTGATTTCACATGTGATTAGAGGGTCAACTAACTAACACTAACATCTGGATAATCCTTGACACATTTACAGACAAAACATCTCAGAGTAGAAGTGTTTCGAGGACACCTACTGGATGTTTGTGGGAATAACTACGACTAGATAAATTACTCAAATCTTTCATTTTATTACTTCACAGCACGTACTTAAGCATCACTATTAAGCCTTCTCTTCAGGTGTGAAACTTTACAGGCCAATTTAAAACACTATAAACCAGAGAGGATCTGCTACCTTCCCAGTCTGTAACCTCGGCCTGTAAACGGGTGAAAGGTCTTTTTCTTTGGGACATAAGCTTCATCTTTCATGTCCTCCACGTTGACTTCTAGTTCTTCATCCTCAGCTCTTCCTTCAAGCTCCAGAGGCAGCTCACTTTAAATAGAGGATATTTAGATTATTACAAAACTTAAAGATTTTATTCTGTCTGTATGTCATCATTTGAGGGGAAAAGTGCAATAATTATAATAGAATGGGCATTTTACACCTTTGCGAGAAGTAGAATGTGAATGCTATAATATTGCCACCGTGACAATTATCAACACTGCTCACCCTCTTTTAATGGCCTCCAAGAACTCTTGGTTTTCTTCTAGAGTGTAACTGCGTAAATCTTCATCGTTTACCGTGAAACCATTTTTCCACAGTCTCACTACAATCTCCACCTGAAAAAGTTCAGCCATGAAACACTCTTAAGAAGCCAGAAGCACCCTTGAAAATTGATTATTTTTTGCATTTCTTTTTGACGATGCTAGTGACTAAGAAATTACACACTTAAAGGAATATTTCACCTAAAAATGAAAGCAGAAAATTTACTCACTCTCAGTCCATCCAAGATGTAGATGAGGTTGTTTCTTCATCAGAACAGATTTGGAGTAATGTAGCATTACATCACTTGTTCACCAATGGATCCTCTGCAGTGAATGGGTGCCGTCAGAATGAGAGTCCAAACAGCTGATAAAAACAAACATGCAACTTTTCACTGCACAAGACTGATTTGATCCGCTGGAGTCATGTGGATTATTGTGATGTTTTTATCAGACTCTCATTCTGACGGCACCCATTCACTGCAGAGGATCCATTGGTGAGCAAGTGATACAATGCTAAATTTCCTGATGAAGAAACAAACTCATCTACATCTTGGATAGTCTGAGATTGAGAACATTTTCAGCTATTTTTTTGTAGTTGTAGTTTCTTCTCAAAGTGACATTACATTGATGTAGCTAGCTGTTAAGCCACAACAACATTATTATTTTAGGTAACCACCAGAATGTTCTGAACACAATTGCACACAAGAAGTCTCGTATGAATGGTCTGACCTTTTTGCCGCTGCTGGCGACACTGCTGATCTTCTCCACCTCATCGAGCAGGTCCTCCACGGAGAAACTGGATCTAATAGGGCTCACCTCCTCGTCGTCCTCCTCTTCCTCATTTTGTGTCCCTTCACACCTAAGAGCTCACAAAGGCAAGAAAGTGTGATTAATTTTAGAGTACTCCAATTACGAACATGCAGTAATGATATAATGTTACTGGCATGATAATGTTTTAAGATGGATAATGGACACAGAGCAGTGTATAGCGGACTTACCATGTGTCATCTTGAACCCTTTCTCTTGAATCAATATCTCTCATCATGACTTCTTTTGTTGTCCATCTTGCAACACAAACATATGCGGGCATATATAAGTTATAAGGGATGGTGCAAGTCAATGTAACCACTGCATCAGCGCTTCCTGAATAATTCATGGAGCAGGACTTTCTGTGTGAGATTGACAGGTGCAGGAAATTCTCAAAACATTGATCGGTTTTCATATCAGTCCAGTAAATCAAGGTAAAATTATGTTTCAACTGACCAGAAATGACCAATGATACACTGATAAATTACTCCTGGTTCTTTTAATAGAATAATTATTCAAATTAAAAACATATTATAAAAGGAATACATATTAATATATTTCATAAAAATAAATATTGCAAAATAAACAAACTATTTAACAACAAACCCTTGCTTTTGGACATGTGCCATGAAATTACCATGTGATGCATTTGAAAAGTATAAAGATATTTCATCAGTATTAATCTGATCAGTATTTAATCAGCTGCTCATCATGACATCATGATGCGCTTACAATAATCTATATGACAATAGGCTTGTTTGAGATGCGCCTCGCCTCGCCTGAAATGTAGGCGAGAGTAGACAGCTGCAGTGAGGGGAGGCAGGGGCGCCGCTAGCAATTTTGGGCCCTATGAAAGAATATGAGGTTGGGCCCCCTACAGCACCAAACATACACTATATTGCCCAAAGTATTGGGACACCCCCTTCTAACGAACAGGTTTGACTACTTTAGTAATTTCCACGAGTACAAATCTTAATGTTTAAGCATATAATGATATTCTAGGGAATTGTGTGCTTCTAATTTTATACCAATAGTTTGAACAGGACCCTTTTCTATTCTAACATGACAATGCCTTTTTGTATAAGCCAGGCAAGGTTAAAAAATAAAAAATAAAAAAGATTGATTCAGTCAGTGTGGAAGAACTTGGCTGGTCTACATAAAGCCAAGTCCTATTCCCAGCTGAACACCTCTGGTGTGACTTTAAATGCAGATCTTGAGCCAAAAACTTATCACCAAACACCAATGACTTGTACATACATATGGACAAATGTATTGGGACACCCCCTTCTTTAGAACAGAAAAAGGCACTTCCAAAACTGTGGCATCAAAGATGGAAACATAATTAAAGGTATTTAAAAATTGTATTTCCATCTGTTGCCACAGTTTTGGACGTGTCTAAAATGACTGTAAGCACATGTACAAGTCATTGGTATTTGGTGATGAGTTTTTGGCTCGAGGTCTGCATTTAAAGTCACACCAGAGGTCTTCAGCTGGGAATAGGACTTTGCGTTCTGCAGACCAGTCAAGTCCTTCCACACTGACTGAATCAATCTTTTTTTTTTTTCTTACCTTGCCTTATACACAGAGGCATTGAACCATGTTACATAATTCATTCAGAACCTGTTCTATGGACATAGACTTTCTGTACCACACTATTCTGCTGATATGGAATGAGTTTGACTTAATCAGCTATATATTAATAGAAATGCTTCACTGGGGCAAACAAAAAAATCCTAAATGTGTTTATTGCTAAGTTTAGTGTGGCAAAATAGAAGCACAGCTGAAATTCGTGTGCAGTGTATCCGGTTGCCATGACAACCTCATGTGCTTTCTGCTGCTACTCTACTAATCAGAGTGTGAATTTGTAAATTTTCTATAGCAAAACTAAAATGTGTTTAAAAGTGCGACTGACCAAATCGTCCGGCTCGGTTTGCCCCCCCCTTGAACTCGAAGACATCTCTAATTACCATCTGATCTCACTCGTGACTAGGCCGTAGGACGGGACGAAACCATGCAGTAAATGGGGGGAGATAATTTTGCTTTCCGTGTTGTTTGAAACCCGTAAGACCGTCGTTCATCTTCGGAACACAATTTAAGATATTTTTGATTAAAAAATATGGGAGGCTCTCTGACCCTCCCATAGACAGCAAGGTAACTACCACGATGTTCAAGGTCCAGAAAAGTACCAAGATGATTGACAAAGTAGTCCGTGTGACATCAGTGGTTCAACTGTAAAGTTACAAAGCTACGGGAATACTTTTTTCCGCAAAGAAAGAGACGAAAATGTGGAATAAAGTCGTTATTTTTGTTTTCTTTGTGCAAAAAAAGCTATTTTCGTAGCTTCGTAACTTTACAGTTGAACCACTGTTGTCACACGGACTACTTTGTCGATTATCTTGGTGCTTTTCTGGACCTTGAACATCGTGGTAGTTACCTTGCTGTCTATGGGAGGGTCAGAGAGCCCTCAGATTTAATCAAAAATATCTTAATTTGTGTTCCGAAGATGAACGAAGATCTTACGGGTTTGGAACAACACGAGGGTGAGTAATTAATGACAGAATTTTCATTTTTGGGTGAACTAACCCTTTAAAACGGACAGTTCTAACCTCTTGAAGTGGAGCAGATACCTACGAGATCAAAGGCGGATATCGCGTTATTCTCACTCATGTGCTGTGCTGCGGATAAACATGATATAATTTCAGTTCTGTTGCTTTATATGAAAATAAATTTGATGAACAAGACACCCAAAGTGCTTGCTATTGAATTCCATACGAAAGGCGTATATATCATCCATTTTTACTGGTTAATACAAACATGTATTTTAGATTTTTATAGAAAATGACAACAATCCCATATCTCACAGAGATCGCACTGTTATAGTGTTTGGGAATATTCATGCATAATTTAAACACATAATCACATGAAATCAGAAAAAAAAAAACAAAAAAAACATTTTAGGAGAGAACGCAACAGAATGGTTGTCTGAACCAATGAGCATTAAGATGTCGTCGTCAGCCAGTCGAATTCCCATCATGCTTTTGCTCAGCGCAGTCGGTATCCGACACAGCCGCTTCGCCGTCGCGAGAGCAGTGTTGCCAACTTAGCAATTTTGTTGCTAGATTTAGCAACTTTTCAGACTACCCTAGCAATTTTTTCTTCCAACAGCACCTAGCAACAAATTTAGCTATTTTTTTTTAATGTATTTGGCAACATTTAGCAACTTTTGATAAGTGACTCAAACGATAAAAAAGGCACACATTTTCCATCTAAATTACACAAAAAGAGGAAACCAAAGGTGCCTAGCAGTACACAATTCACATGAATTAAGTTGGCTGCTATTAACAATTGTTTAATTTAATAATAATAATAAAAATTGAATAATTGTTCATTTATGATACACCTTGTTAGTAGCTTGTACTTGAGTTTGTTGATCAGTTAGTGCACGGTAAGAAAAATATCTAGAAAAATGAAAAAGGTAGTAATTTTCCAGGACATTATCCGTTATCCATTGTAACCCTGTAACCCGAAAACACAAAATACAATGC